CCTTATTTATTTATTTATTTATTTATTTTTGAGTTGGAGTCTCACTCAGTCTCCCAGGCTGGAGGGCAGAGGCACACTTCCGGCCACCACAGCCCCGACCTGCTAGGAGCCGGTGATCCTTCCCCCAGCCTTCCAAGTAGTTGGAACTACAGGCACATGCTACCATGCCTGGCTAATGTTTTGATTTATTGTAGAGATGAGGTCTCGCCAAGTTGCCCAGGCTGGTCTCGAACCCGTGGGCTCAGGCAATCCTCTCACCTTGGCCTCCCAAAGTGCTAGGGTTATAGATGTTAGCCACCGCACCAGGCCTGGCTCATGTCTTTAATCCCAGAAATTTGAGCGACTGAGGCGAGAGGATTGCTTGAGCACAGGAGTTGGAGACCAGCCTGGGCAACAAGTGAGACTTCACCTCTACAAAAAAAAAAAATTAGCCGGGCATGGTGGCACATGCCTATAGTCCCAACTACTCAGGAGGCTGAGGCAGGACCACCTGAGCCCGGGAAGTCAGGGCTGCAGTGAGCTGTGATCTTGCCACTGCACTCCAGCCTAGCTGACAGCGAGACACCAACTCAAAAGAAAAAGAGAATCACAGCCTGTCATTTTACAGATCAGAAAATGGAGACCTTGAGAGATAAACTGCATCTTGGGTAAAGTTCTCTTGATTACAAAGAACAGAAATCACCTGAGGTCATTATCACAAAGAGGGAAGAGGTTATAAAAATGCAGTGTCCTGCAGGCATTGGGGGCCTTGGGGAACGGGACTGGGTCTGGGGAGCTTATGGAACCGGGGTCACCCGCTGGGCCGTTCTAGCCTTGCCTCTCCTCTCTGTTCCCTTCCTTCCCGTCCCTCTGCTAAGCAGTCTTGTCTGCTTCTTGGTGTGTGAAGTGGAAGAGGATTCAAACAGCTACAAAGGCTGAGCAGGTCTCTGGATCCTCATCCAACCCGCTGTGGTCAGAGGGGCTGTATCGCTTTGTGGGGTGGGGTGGGGGGAGAAGTGCGGCTTGATCAGTGTTGTTTCATCAGGATCACAGGAAGTTTGTTGACGCTTTGAACCCCCGCCACCCTGCCTTTCCTGCTGCAGTCCCGGAGGCATGGGAGTGTTTAACTTCTATAACCAGGATGTAGGGAGACAGACTGGCATCATTGTCAAAAAGCCTGCTCAAAGTAGCGCATTCACTTCAGTATTTAGACCCCAAATTCACAGCCCTTCACCCACCCCCAGTTCGAAGCCCCCGTGCAGTTTCAGCAAGACTCAAGATGTACATTCATGATTTTCGATTCGTGACCACTGACGTGACACAGAGTCTCCTGGTCATGCTGACATTTTAGGTGGCATTTTGGAATTTACAATATGTCCTTTTACAGTTTTTTTTAGAGGAAGAGGCAGACAATTACAATCTTTGGAAGGAAGAAAGGAACAGTCATAACATTTAAGATAATAGCTTTAAGCCGGGCATGCCTATAATCCCAGGACGTTGGGAGGCGGATGCAAGAAGATTGATTACCTGAGCCCAGGGGTTTGAGACCAGCCCGGGCAACTTAGCGAGACCTCATCTCTACAATAAATCAAAAAGTTAACCGAGCATGGTAGTGTATGCCTGTAGTCCCAGCTACTTGGAAGGCTGAGGCAGAAGGATCTTCTGAGCCCAGCAGACCGAGGCTGCGGTGGCCATGAGCATGCCACCGCACTCTAGGGAAACAGTGAGACTCCTACTTAAAAAAATATAAATATATGATAGCCTTGAATTGTTTTAAAACATAATTGTAACAAGCTTTTATTCCCAGTGCCCTCGCCTGTAACAGTTGCCCACTCCAGGCTTTCAGACACACTCCTGCTGGCCTTGGAACGCTCTCCTAATCGTGAGGTGGTCTGTCTTGCCGGCTGTGTCTTCTCCAGCACCAGCAGTGGCTTACTCGCTGAGACTGACCTTTCAGACCAGTCAGGCAAGGCTGTGCAGGGAGGGAAGAGGGGGTTGAAGGTAGAGGAGGGGGAAAGGATGTGCACTCTTACATTCAGACAGCTTTTATGTTTAGCCCAACTCAGCTACAAAAGAATACAAGGCTTTAAGACTTTTCTAAATGACTGTTCTAATGTAACCAAAATGGGCGCTTTTCAGTCTATAACACCCACCAGACTCTGTTTCTGAGGTGGGGCCCAGAAATGGGCATTAACATCCCAGATGACCCCAAAGCAAGAGTTCCTTGGGTTATAACTTGAGAAATAGCTGGTCTAGGCCAGGCATGGTGACTCACACCTGTAATCCCAGCACTTTGGGAAGCTGAGGTGGGAGGATTGCTTGAGCCCAGGAGTTCCAGACCAGCCTGGAGATCTATTGCTACAAAAAAATAAAAATAAAAAAAATCAGTGGAGCATAGCAGCATGTGCCTGTAGTCCCAGCTACTCAGGAGGTCGAGGCATGAGGATCACCTGAGCACAGGAGATTGAGGCTGCAGTGAGCCGTAATCATGCCACTGTTCTATAGCCTGGGCAATAGAGTGAGATCCTGACTCAAAAAAAGAAAAGAGGCCAGGTACAGTGACTCAAGCCTGTAATCCCAGCACTTTGGGAGGCTGAGGCAAGGGGATTGCCTGAGCCCAGGAGGTTTGAGACCAGACTGGGTGACTTGGTGAGACCTCGACTTGACATTAAAAAAAAAAAAAATAGCCGGGGTTGGTAGCGCATGCCTGTAGTTCCAGCTACTTAGACGACTGAGGTGGAAGGATTGCCTGAACCCAGCAGGTTGGGGCTACAGTGGCCATGAACGTGCCACTGCACTCCAGCCTGGGCGACAGAGTAAGGCTCCAACTAAAAAAAGAAAAAAGAGAAATGCATTTCTGGCTGGGCTCGGTGGCTCAGCCTGTAATCCCAGCACTTTGGGAGGCCGAGGTGAGTGGATTGCCTGAGCCCATGGGTTCGAGACCTGCGTGGGCAACTTGGCGAGACCTCATCTCTACAATAAATCCAAAAAATCAGCCGGGCGTGACAGCGTGCGCCTGTAGTTCCGGCTACTTGGAAGGCTGAGTGGAAGGATCGCCGGAGCCCAGCAGATCAAGGCTGCGGTGGCTGCAGCAGCTACTGCACTCCAGTCTGAGTGACAGAGTGAGACTACAACTAAAAAAAAAAAAAAAAAAAAAAATCAGCCAGGCTAGGTGGCTCAGCCTGTAAACCCGCGTTTTGGGAGGCTGAGATGACTGGATTGCTTGAGCCTGCGGGTTCGAGGCCTGCCTGGACATCTTGGTGAGACCTCATCTCTACAATAAATCAAAAAATCAGCCGGGCGTGGTAGCGCGCGCCTGTAGTTCCAGCTACTTGGAAGGCTGAGCGGAAGGATCGCCAGAGCCCAGCGGGTCGAGGCTGTGGTGGCCGGGAGCGGCCCCTACACTCCAGTCTGGACGACACAGTGAGACTCCAACTCAAAAAAAGAAAAAGAAAGAAACAGCTAGTCTCAGTCAATACCTCCGCGATGTTTTGACCTGAAATCCGAATCTCAACCTTCAGGTGGGGAAAAGCGGCGGGACTCCTCCCGCGGCTAACGACCAACTCCTGCCTTCAATGACAAGCAACATGGAGACCCGCAGTTGCTGTCCTGGTAAGTCCAGGAGGGTGTATCCACCTTCGGGAACTGCTGGGTTCCTGCCCTCAAAGCCCCCCTGAAATCTTTCTCCATCCTCTGCTTAGCCTTCTCCTGGGTTGACTTCACTATTAGGTGGGCTTTCTCCATAGGGTGACCTCCTTCTCCCCAGAGCCTCAGGTTTTCGTCCCTCCATGTTGAAGACCTCCACGGAAAGAGCAAAAGTCCAGGACAGACCCTCATTGGTCCGATTGGGTCATGTGCTCACACCTGACCCAGTCAGGGCGGAGGCTGTGTGGTGGAACCAGTTTAGGGACACATCCTCACCACTGAAGTGACAGTTGGGACCCCCTCCTCCAAACTGCATGGAGGCGTCAACCTGAAATAATGAGATTCAGAAAACATGATAAAGTATAGAGTTTATTGTGGCACAAAGCTTGATAAGGACCACCCAGAAGACTCCGACTCCAAACGCGTGCAGTCAGCATTCCACAGTGGAGAAGGTAAGGCTTTTCTTATGTAGCCAGAGACAGAAATTATAGTAGAATGACGACATTTTCCTTGTGTGATCAGTGCCTATGCCTCAGCGATTTGATTGGCTACAGATGGCTACATTCTGGGGGTCTTATCTCTGACGTCACTTGGTCTTCCTGATTACAGGGAAAAAAGTAGAAGTTGGGCCGGGCTCGGTGGCTCAGCCTGCAATCCTAGCACTTTGGGAGGCCGAGGTGAGTGGATTGCCTGAGCCCGGGTTCGAGACCTGCCCGGGCAACTTGGCGAGACCTCATCTCCACTATAAATCAAAAATAGCCGGGCGTGGTAGCGCACGCCTGTAGTTCCAGCTACTTGGAAGGCTGAGGGGAAGGATCGCTGGAGCTCAGCAGGTCAAGGCTGCGGTGGCCGAGAGCAGCCATTGCACTCCAGTCTGGGTGACAGAGCAAGACGCCAACTCAAAAAAAAAAGAAAAAGGAAAAAAAAAAAACTAAGTGAAAATAAAAACAAGCTTAGTAATTTATACTTGGAATGCACATACTTTTCCGAAATGGACTCCCTTGGGCTCCGGTTCAGTTTCTGACCAAGTGCTGTTGCCTGAACCATGGTGGCTCATAGGAGGTGGGGCTCCTCCATCTCCAGACTATCTGTTGAAGAAGACAAGAGCTTAAACTAGCCCAGTGCCCATTCTAATGGTCATTTCTAGCTCCTGAGATTTTTTTCTAGTGCTTGCTGCATGTTTGAGATAATCTACATTGTTTTTCTTTAGTTAATATTAGAAAGTGCCAAAATATATATCCTAACAAGTACTGCTTTTCAAAATAAACCTGGAAAACAAAATATCCATTCCTATTTTGCTAGCACTATTCAAAACATTGTGTGAGTTCCTCATTTGCCAATGCCTTCAGAGTCAACAAAGCAACATAACAAAGCCAGCCATTTATACTCTTCTGGTTTATTTACCAAAACTGTATTATTTACTAGGCTTGGATCTAAATTTTTTTGGCAATTAAAAGAAATGCCAAAATTGTTACCATCACTGGAGACTTTTTAATGTGTCACAAGCTTTACATTACTGTTGCTTTAGGCAAGTGGACTACCATTAAAAATATACGTACAGCTGCGTGAGGTAACAATTTTGAGGGAGACAACATCCACTTAAATATAGGCACTAAGACAGTCAAAATTATCTGTCGTGTTACTTAACAGTCACAGTCATACAGACTAAAAAGTTGCCTTTCATTTATGTAACTTCTTATAAAGGTAAAAGAGGCTAAAATTTGCTTTTCCACAAAACAACTGCTATATTACCAGCCTCTTGGTTCTCTCGTGATACCAAAGCACTAGATCATTAAAAATACCGCAAGGCAATTTAATGGAAATTATCAGCACTTGCAAGACAAGAAGACTGCAAAGAGCACTGTTACACTCAAGCACACCAAACCCGGGGAGTGTGAAGCGGCAGGGCACGTGCGGGGCACCCACACTCTCCTCGCACTTGACCCTACGTGTCTAGCGGCACAGGACAGACCCTTCCGCGACTGGAAATGCTGTTTCCGTGTGACGTGTTTGTCCAGACGGAGAGGCAGCCTATGAGACGTGGAGTCATCACCTCGCCGCCTGCAGGGGGCCTTCCCGCTCCGCTTCTGTCTGATCCAGCACTTCATTCAGCCACTCTGGAAGAATTTATTTTCTTGAGATCGGCTGGGCTCAGAATCAACGCCCCATTTTTGAATTTTCCAGCCTGTCCACTCCGTCCACTGAACAAAATACTGGGAGCCGACTTCTTCTTTTTGGATGTCCTATATTTAAAGTGAAAGGAAGGTACTATAAATAGCTAAGCTTACAAACAAGCGTCGCAGCACCACCAACCCGGCCAGCACAGCCTGGCCTGCAAACTCTGGCCCCCTCCCACGCAGAGCCGCCACCCCACCGCAACACTACTGGCCTCCCTGGTGTCCCCGAGACACGCCACCTGCCTTCCTGCATCAGGGCCCTTGCACTGCATGGCATGTTCTGGTACCAAGGCTTTCCAGGCTGTCCCCTCCCCTTTGCTCAATTCTCAACTTAGATGTCACCTCCTTAGAGTGCCTTCCCAGCTCACCATCCCCCACCCTGATTTTCTTTGACAATGCTCTATTTCAACCTCTCCAAGTACCTGCCAGGACTTGACATCACCCTACTTACTGTTTGTGCATTCTGGGGTGTTTTTCCTCACTACAATGTAAGCTCCTCAAGGACAGGGATACAACTGTATACCAACACCTAAGGCACCTGTGTGCCTAGCACACAGTGGGCATTCAATAGACACACATCTGTGGCTAGAACAACCACTTTACAGCATATGCAAGCAAACTAGGAGTCTAAGAAAAAAGGCCAAGACACAAAGAGTCACTTTTGAAACAGTAACTCAAAGAGAGAAAAAAAGGCACTTGAACAAAGCCAAGAAACAAGCATAAAGCAACACAATCCATGTCCATTATCCAAGATCATGGTGCTCTGCCTTGTGGTACGTCAAAAAACAGGCAATACAGACCTGGGCTATACTGGCATAGCCACATTCTTGTAGAAAAACAGAGGTCTTTTGCTAAAAATGTAAATTGCAGCTTTTCCACTAGTCACTCACTTGAGGTGTCTGATCTTTGGAAAGGGGAGAGTTCGGAATGAATTCCTCATTCAGTTCTATAAAAGTTGTTTAATCTTGGACAATTTACTAAATCCTATTTTCCCCTCATAGGGTTTGATTAGGATAAACGAGAGACAGTGAAGCACTTGAAACACCACAGACATTCAAAGAATCATTTTCAGAGCTATTGTTCAACCCTCCTTCCTGATGGAATCACTCACCTGTCTCCCTGCCCTTTCCTCTTCTTTTTCTTGAAAAGATCTGTTTCTTGGGCCTGATTTCAGAATTTAAGATAATTTGTCAGTAACAGATAGCAGAGATTCAAAATAAGGCAAGAGGTGTGTGAGCAAAAACCACTGAGATACCATTTATTTATTTATTAAGTGAGAAAGCAGGATTTTTTGAGGACAGAAAAGTTCCCACAGTGCAAGGGGACCGGACCCAAGGGCGTTGCCCGCCATTTATTTTTGATATTTCTTGCAAGTGGACATATTAAGCATAACAGTCCCAATGTTTCACCCTAAAACTCTTTTAAGAATGTAAAAAGTTATTCACAGTAAGACTGATAGTTTTACACTGAAAAGTCAAACTTCCATCTTGGATGGAAGGTAGGGAATGTAATATCTATTCCCTAGTGGCTTTTCACAGGTGCCCATGTTCTTAAAAAAAGTAAAATAAAAATTTTTTTTTTAATTATAGGAAAAAGATCAAAGTAGCCTGCATTACCAGAACAGGAGTCTGCTGCACCAAAGCAACTTTTCATGTCAACATGGCATAGACTACTTGGCTGGTATCACCAGCTGCAGCCGAACCACAGGAGTGCAGAGCACACAATCCTGTCGCACTGGTGCCTCAGCTGCTTCCCAAGCAGCAACCTCCGCCATGCCCTGTGGCAAACCGCATCCACCTTTCTATTTCGTTTAATAAAGACACAGATGACTGCACTTACCATTCTTTTTTCCTCTTCCTTGGCTGCCTTTTTTTCTTTGATCTGCTCCTGCAAAACCTTATAGTTCACATAACTATTTTTGGGAGGCTGAAATGAAAGAAGGAAATGCGCCATCATTTTTTATTCTGCCAAAGCGTACCAGTGTCCTTTGCTCTGGTCTGCCTTCTGCGCTCCCTGCCCTTGCTTGGTCTGCCTCGACCTGCAGGCGAAAGGCGGCCGCAGCCCCTACCTTAGCACCCAGCATGACGGCACGTTCCCGTTCCAGGACTCTTTCCTTTCCTTTTCCATAACCCGTGATCCCAAACCGATGCACTTCCAGACGAGCCTGTGGACACAAAACAGAATCAGACCCCGGGGCACTCCAACAGCACCAAAGAAAGTAACATAGCCCTGGAACAGTTCACTCTAGGCACGCCATGTTGTGAGAACAGCACGCGGGACAGAAGCCCTGTGTGTGGCTGAAGGAGATCCTCAGGCTCTCCTGTCACGGCAACATGCTTCATGATGCCTTTCTCCCATGTTTAACTCAGAAGCTGAAGCAAAGAATTACCTCCACACAAACTAGTGACAGAGCCAGGAACCAACGCAGAAATCTGCCTCTTTAGGATGCTTTCAAAAACAAGCCATCACCCAAGCGCGATAATTCCAGCTGGAAAACCCCTCTCGAAGCAGCCCTACACAACTTAGAAACCATCCACCACAGCAGCTTCAAACACAGAGACTCGGTTTTAGAAAGAAGAGAATAAGCCACTGACACTCTCGGCAGCTGGATTACTTCCTCCAGTCTTTCCTCTTATGCATTTTTAAAACCTTGCTACAACCACAGAACACATATATCCCTGCTTTTCCTATTTACACCGTATCATTGGTGTTGTAGTCACAAAACCATCATTTATTAGATGAGTGTAAAATATTCAGTCAAGCTGGGCTCAGTGGCTCAGCCTGTAATCCCGCGCCTTTGGGAGGCTGAGGTGAGTGGATTGCCTGAGCCCGCGGGTTCGAGACCCGCCTGGGCAGCGAGACCTCATCTCTACAATAAATCAAAAAATCAGCCGGGCGTGGTAGCGCAGGCCTGTAATTCCAGCTACTTGGAAGGCTGAGGCAGAAGGATCGCCGGAGCCCAGCAGGTCGAGGCTGCGGTGGCCGGGAGCGGCCACTGCACTCCAGTCTGGGCGACAGAGTGAGACTCCAACTCAAAAAAAAAAAAAACAACAATATTCAATCAAGTGAATATAGTGTGATTTGCTTAACAATTTTCCCAGCCGTAGGACGTGTAAAGTATTCATTTTTGGTACTATAAATAAAGATGTTAACTTTTATAAATAAACTACATAAATGTATAAGCTTAATATAACTATAACAAATTAATAAATATTATAAAGTTAATTATAAATAATTTAACAGTCTCAAAGTACATACCTTTTCTAGGTTAAATTCTTGTATCTCCATATCTTTCTCCAAAACACTAGTTTTAGTCTGCAGAGAAAAAAATCCTTATTAAGATCATCTGTTACTACATCATTATATCTATTGCCAGCAGAGTAGGTACATTTTAAGAAAGCCTTGAAACTGACCTGCTCACAGCCGGTAGACTGTATACTAGTAAAAACAAAATAATAATAACAAGTGCTGGCAAGGATGTGGAAAACTGGAACCCTTGTGTGTTACTGGTAGGAACGTAAAATGGTGAAGCCGCTGTGGAAAACAATATGGCAGTCCTCAAAAAAATAAAAATAGAGTTATCATATGATCCAGCAATTCTTCTTCTGGGTATACACACAAAAGATCTGATGGCAGGGTACAACTATGTTCACAGCAACGTTGTTCACAATAAGCTAAAACATGGAAGCAAACCACATGTCCATCAATGAATAGATTAAATAAATTGGATGGATTAAATAAAATATGGTGGATATATACACAATGAAATATTACTCGACCTGAAAAAGGAAAGAAATCTCAACTTGTGCTACAACATAACATGGATGAACCTTAGGACATTATGCTAAATGAAATAACCCAGTCACAACTACTGAATGATTCCCCTTATATAAGCTTCCTAGAGGAGTCAAATTCATAGAGACAGAAGGTAGAACGGTTGCCAGGGCCTGAGAAAAGGGGACAGGAAAGTTAGTGTTGACTGGATACAGACTTTCAGCTGGGGAAGATCAGGATGCTCTGGAGATGGATGGTGGTGACAGTTGCACAACATTAGCAATGTCTTCACACCACTGAACTGCATACTTGAAAATGGCTAAGATGGTCAATTTTATGTTATGTGCATTTTACCACAATAGAAAACATTAGCGGGGGGAGAAGCCTTGAAACTGACCCAGATGGCTAGATACCAAACAATAACATCAACATCTTGTTCAAAATCCTAACTAACAGTTAATGGAAGAAAAATGGAGACAATATTTTTTAAGATCTCAAAGCTTAAGCAAGGAATGATGAGAAACTAAGAAAAAAAGAAAAGACAGTAAGAGAGCAATGTTTGTATCTCATGTAAAAAATACAGAAAATTGTGTTTGGTGGGAGATTTAGAAAAGAATAACTGTTTATGCAGATTTCAGAGGGAAAACTGCTATATTTAAATAATTACTTTTCTCTTTTGTTCCCTTCCATTCATCCATTAGAAAAATAGCCTACAAAACTATCTTGAGTTGATAGATTTTTTCAGAAACTCCAGATTTCTAGCAATGGTGGAGATTTGGTTTATAATTCCTAACAGAAAATAATAATGCTGCAAATGCCTTCAAAGCATGACTTTTATACCAACAATATCCCCTGGCTGTGGTTACTAGCCCACAGTACAGACCAGAAGCTTGAGATTCTAAGGAAACTGTATTGTGAAAGACACCCCACATTTGGCCAACAAGAGCAGTCACCACTCAGCCCCAGCCCCTGCATCTGCCCCAACAGGAAGCATGCAGCCCCTTTTAGAAAAGGCACCGGCTCCCTTGGAGGATGATGGAGGAGGGGCCCGCTGGCCCTGAGCTGCAAAGGTCTGCTTGCCATGGCAGTCTGTCCGTATGAGGAGGGCCAGAGCACCCTGCCCCACACCGCCAAGAGGCACCCATCACAGCGCCGTCCGTTATGTGACTACACAGTCCACAATGGAATCACAGTGGGATCAGTTCGCTTCCTCCTTCTCCAAACAGGCCCTGTGCTTTGGCCTATCCTGGTTCCTCCCACGACTGCGTTTTAGGTGTGTGCTCAGTCAGTCATTGAATGTCTTCACAGATGAGGCTTCTGGCTCCTGTGATTTGACTCCACAAATGAGGATCTCTGCACTTCACAGGGGCTATTATGATGAGCCAGGATAAGGAACAGTGAGCGAGCAGCACAGGGTCTAACAGGAGGGCCTAAGCAATGCTGCTGCTCCGAGCCGATCTCCTGACTGCCATCAGCAGCGTGGCGGGCCTCGCTGCAGCACCGTGTGCCTGCTGCCACACTGCACACTAAACGACGCTCTATGGGCTGGGGGTACTGGTAACAGAGGACTGGACAGCAGAGAACTGTCAGAGTCCAGGTTCACGGCCTCGCTCTGTGCTCTTATCGCAATCGACGCACTTGCCGTCTTGCTTCATCAAGCTTCCGGTCTTCTGCTGTACTTCCGACCTCCAGTCCCCTAGCTCCCGCCTGGCCGACGGCCTCAAACACCTTCACGAAGACCATGGGCCTGTGCGGAGGGAGCCATCTGGGCATTTCCATTTCATCTACCCCAAAGGTCTTACTTCCTGTCCCATAACTGGAAAAAATCCTCCATCTACTTTGAAATTATGATACCTCTTCCACTGGCATGCAAATCGAATCTACTGAGTATGATAAACAGTGATATACTTCTAGGGAAAAAAGACTAAATCGTAACGATTTTAGGATCATATCTAAGCCCTCAAAACAAACAAAAAACCCCTGTATGCTGTTTTCTAAAATCTCATGAGATATTTATCTCCTTTTCTAAACATTTAAATAATTCTCTTCCCTCCCACCCACTCCACTGAAGTAACAGCTAACTCAACTCTCTGGAGCCGAACTATTCTTTCAGGTACTTCGGCACTTAAGATTTATAGCAATACCGAAAATGTCCCAGATGTTCTTGGCTGATGTGTTTCCAGGAGACTAACATGACAATGGAGTCATTTAAAGAGAACTTAAGCACTGTAATAAAATTCTTGGCCAACAGTGTGACAGCTACTATGAGGCTGAAACCCTGGGCCCTGGGGAGAAACTGGCCCAGGAAGACAGGGTCAGTGATTGGCCTCTTGCAGTCCCTGCTGTCACCATCAGCAGCCCTTCCAAGTACCGAGTCATCAGGCTGTGAGACAGCAGGGCTGAGGGATTAACTAGACCAAGGACTGGGCCTTGTTTGGCAATTCTGGCCCAGACACAGACACCTTGGTGTCCCCACTCCTATGTTAATATTTCACAAGAAACATAGTTGTGTGGCTGCTGATGTGTTTCTGAGAAAGGGTCTGCAGTCTAAATCTGTGGCAGAGAGGGGGCTGGTATCAGTTAAAAGTATTCCATTTAAAAATCAACCAACAGCCGGGCTCGGTGGCTCAGCCTGTAATCCCGCGCCTTTGGGAGGCTGAGGTGAGTGGATTGCCTGAGCCCGCAGGTTCGAGACCTGCCTGGGCAGCGAGACCTCATCGCTACAATAAATCAAAAAATCAGCCGGGCGTGGTAGCACGCGCCTGTAATTCCGGCTACTTGGAAGGCTGAGGCGGAAGGATCGCCAGAGCCCAGCAGGTCGAGGCTGCGGTGGCCGGGAGCAGCCACTGCACTCCAGTCTGGGCAACCGAGTGAGACTCCAACTCAAAAAAAAAGAAAAAAAAAAATCAATCGACAAACTCTGAAAACCCGCCAGACCAGTTTTGTTTGGGCAAAATCAAATAGCTAAGGACTAACGGCTTTCATGGACATGCAAAAAGGTAACTAATTCACAGACTTATCCAAAACCCCTCTTTTGAAGTAGATGATTTACAACCATACTCACCCTGCATTTCCTGGAGACCATTGGCTCTTTGAAAGATCTTATTTTGCTGAATACAACCTTGTAAATCCCAAAGAAAATGTGTAATCCCTCAACATGACCCCCCTCCCTTACCCAAACAAAGATAAAAGACCCCTCTTCTCCTGTTCTGGAGGGCTCGACCTGGAAGTGTTAGCCCGTCGAGCCCGCCGGCATAATAACATTGCCACTTCCTATAATAGTCTCAGTGTCACGGCCTTTCTGTCTTCCCGCTACATTATTCTGGTGAGCTGGCCGGGAAAGGAGAGTTCAGAGATGGAGTATTCTACTTCCGCTGTCATCGGGGTACGGCCTCCAGGGCAACGGGAAGGTTGATCTCGCCTGGCACGCAATGGACCTTTTGATCCGTAGGAGGGAGGCCCCTCCCGACACACTGAGGCTGGGACCACGAAAGCACGACAGGGACCCAAGAGGTGAGGAACTGGCACGAGGATGACCCCCGGACGGAAAGGACAGAAAGACCACCCGACAGAAAGGGTAGGAATAAAGGCCTTTGCAGAGACCTGCCAACGGATGGCAGAAGGGGAGCTTGATCACCTCCCAGAGTCCGCTAGTCATCTCCAGCCTGAAGGAAAGGGCTGAAAGGCAGGGGAAGGCAACACTGTCTGAAGATGAAATCGTAGACTCCTAGGATTAGGGGGGAGGGTTGAAGAATGTGCTGGGTGATTGTGTGTGAATGAGACGGACGGCGGGAGCGCTCTGCATAAAGTTAGTCTGTGTTGGGGGTGTACCAACCTGCCAACTGCTAAGAGGTATCTGGGATAACTTCACGAGGAGTATGGCTGGAAGGGAACGAAGTAGATGTTTCCTATGCCCCTCATTCTCTTGTCTGTGTGTGTCTGTCGTTTTGAACCTGCTATAAGCTGGTTGGGTTATTGTGTTTTGTTTGGTGGGACATGTTGTCTTTTAAAAACTTGATTGGCACATGTTTCTTTATGTCATTTTATGTTTCCCTCCCTTTATTTGTGTGGTGTTTCTCCCAACCCATTGGCACTGTTAAAATTCCTGACTTTTGTTGTTAAGGTTGTGGGAAAATTGCCTGCTGCATATGTGAAGTGCTACCGGTTATCTTGAATTCTTTCCCGGGACCACACCCCCTCCCTTTCTTAGCCTGTGCTCTCCTTCATAAATTCTGAAGGAGTTGTCATTCTAATCCACCTGTAAAGAAACATAGAAATGTCTCTTATATGCTACTTAGCCTTTTGCTAACTCAGTGCAAATTAATACTAGCCTTGGAGAGAATAATTTTGTAATCTTTCTCTGGCAAATAAGGGACTGAATAAACTGTTCTTGTTTTCAAATGCTAAAAGCCAGGTTAGTTGAAAGTAAGTCTGTTTCTAAAGGTTTAGGCCTTGTCTAAGATCGTAACCAACTGCTTGTCCCTGTAAAATTGTTGGGAAATCTCTTAAAGTCATGTAACGTATGCTAAGTCCCTACTTTA